AAAGTTCAGATTTCACAATAAAAGCTCTGTTTGAACCGATCACATTGATCACATTAATCAATAAGCAGGTTCAATAATCGGTTCTGAGTTCATAACAATAAATAAATAAATGAATGCTATTAAAGAATCACTAATTTTCTCTTTGGGTTATAAGTTGAGTTAATCATTCATTTCATTTATAGATAATTCATTTTTTATTTCCAGGAAATTCTTTAATTATTTATAAATGAGAAACGTGTAAACAACAACAACAACAACAACACAATCCTATATATAAATATATATATATTTACAGCTTGGATCAGTTAACAAACACTAAATTATGACTTTATCCTGTATATCAATTATTATCGTGAATAAAAACTACTGATTGATCCTTTAACCGCGGTCTGTTTTCTGCCCTCAGGCAGGCTGATCAGTAAAATCTGATTCTATTGGCTTTAATTTCTTTACTTCACTCCGACTGTCCGACTGTCGTACTACAGCTATGGATTCATATTTTATATAACTACATTTGATGTACTCAACTTCATTTAAAAAAGAACCAAAATAATAATGATAATAACAATAATAATAATAATAATAATAATAATAATAAAAACAACAACAGGCTCATAAAGTTATCATTTTATTTAGTAAAAGGTTTGTTTGTGTTCGGCGACTTTAACTGTCGAATGAACTTTAATTTGGACAAATTTATCAGCAGAGACGATTTTGACATCATTAAAACCTGAGTGTGTGTGTGTGTGTGTGTGTGTGTGTGTGTGTGTGTGTGTGTGTGTGTGTGTGTGTGTGTCTGTGCACTGCAGCAGAGGTCGACCAATCAGTGAGCTCCTCCTCATGTTTGGACAGTGTTAGTATGCAGAGCAGACAGTGTGTGTGTGTGTGTGTGTGTGTGTGTGTGAATATAAAGTGAGTGTGAAACAGCAGCTTCAGCAGTTTGTTCAGTCAAACACTCACAAACAGTCAGAGTACTTTTACTCAAGTACTGTACTCACTGAGGTACTTCCCTTCAGTCCATCTCTGTACTGCAGTTATTAAACTCCATCAGAACCAACGCTGCAGAGGAAACAGGCTGAATGGGTCTTTACCGGGAAGCAATGAATCCTCTCAGAGTGCCGTTGGATGGCGTTTGCTGCCCCCAGTGGTCAATGTTCTCTCACATGGAACTGAGAACTGTTATTGTAGTCCTGCAGTGCCACCAGTGACCACAGGTGTCACCAAATCAAACCAAACTAAGACACAAACTTGTTTCGAATCAGAAGAAGTCCTGCAGGATGGTGTTTGGATTTAAATATTATCTTTGATGATGGGTCCCCGCTTTATAAAGCGGATTCCTTCCACTATCTCAGACTTTGGATTGACCGTGAACCCACAGTGATGGTTGCCTTATAGCTCAGAAACCCAATCATTGCTCACTTGACACTATTATTGATTATGCTGTATATAACTGTGGGTGTCTGTTTAGCAGTGTCCCTGAACACACCATTGTTCAATGTATGTAAACAATTTCACTGGCTTCATTTCAGTTTTGGACCCATGTAGATCTTTTTCTTTGTCAAACAAGTCAGATGCTCGTCATTTCAAAATAAAGCTCCATCAGACTGGATTAATCTTCTATCACCTTTTCCTGTTGTTTCATCTTTATTTTCTCTTCTGAAACATCAACTCCTGATTTATTATCCAGCTTAGCTTCTAACATCTTTTGTGTTGTGCTGTAGTTGTAGTGTTGTGCTGTAGTTTCAGTGTTGTGCTGTAGTTTTAGTGTTCGGCTGTAGTTGTAGTGTTGTGCTGTAGTTTTAGTGTTGTGCTGTAGTTTTAGTGTTCGGCTGTAGTTTTAGTGTTGTGCTGTAGTTTTAGTGTTCGGCTGTAGTTTCAGTGTTGTGCTGTAGTTTTAGTGTTCGGCTGTAGTTTCAGTGTTGTGCTGTAGTTTTAGTGTTGTGCTGTAGTTTTAGTGTTCGGCTGTAGTTTTAGTGTTGTGCTGTAGTTTTAGTGTTCGGCTGTAGTTTCAGTGTTGTGCTGTAGTTTTAGTGTTCGGCTGTAGTTTCAGTGTTCTGCTGTAGTTTTAGTGTTGTGCTGTAGTTTTAGTGTTCGGCTGTAGTTTCAGTGTTGTGCTGTAGTTTAGTGTTCGGCTTAGTTTTAGTGTTGGCGTAGTTTAGTGTTGTGCTGTAGTTTTAGTGTTGTGCTGTAGTTTCAGTGTTCTGCTGTAGTTTTAGTGTTCGGCTGTAGTTTCAGTGTTCTGCTGTAGTTTTAGTGTTCTGCTGTAGTTTCAGTGTTCTGCTGTAGTTTTAGTGTTCTGCTGTAGTTTCAGTGTTCTGCTGTAGTTTTAGTGTTCTGCTGTAGTTTCAGTGTTCTGCTGTAGTTTTAGTGTTCTGCTGTAGTTTCAGTGTTCTGCTGTAGTTTCAGTGTTCTGCTGTAGTTTTAGTGTTCTGCTGTAGTTTCAGTGTTCTGCTGTAGTTTTAGTGTTCTGCTGTAGTTTTAGTGTTCTGCTGTAGTTTCAGTGTTCTGCTGTAGTTTCAGTGTTCTGCTGTAGTTTTAGTGTTCGGCTGTAGTTTTAGTGTTCTGCTGTAGTTTCAGTGTTCTGCTGTAGTTTCAGTGTTCTGCTGTAGTTTTAGTGTTCGGCTGTAGTTTTAGTGTTCGGCTGTAGTTTTAGGGTTTGGTCAATGTTATCTGGAGTTGGTTGTGGCAGGCGCAGCAGCACAGAGACGTTTCAGAGTTGAAACCAGATGCAGATGAAGCTTCATCGGTTTCATTTAAAGCCTGAGTTTGACCGAGTTGTTGAAAGTTGTCAAAGTTAAATTTTAATTTGAAGTTTTTAGGGAACATGAAGTCAGAGCGGCTTCCTTACATTTGTCACAGCGATCCTCTGAAATTAATCTGAGCGGAGTTTCTGTTTAAAACAGGAGAGTTTAAAAGACAAACCTTAAATCAACAGATGAACTAACAGGCAGACTGATCTTCAATTAGAGACAGAGGAGGAGGAGGAGGAGGAGGAGGAGGAGGAATCCTTCACTACAAAGACTGACGAGAGGAAAACTGGACCTGAAAAGAAGTTTCATCCTTTCTGTGACATGGAAACTAGAAGCTGTTTATTAAAACATTTATCATGTTAGAAGATGTGAGGAAAGATTAAACATTTAACGTCAATAAAAAATAATCTCATAAAAATACCTTCAGCAAAAACCTCGTTACCCATCAGTCTGTGGTCAGACCAATGAGACTGAGCAGTATGGGACATTCCTGCACTCTTTATCAAACTACATAAACGTGTTCGTATCCTGATGTCATTCCGACTCCACTCTCTAACTGTAGCAATGAGGTATCGCGAACCTTCAGATTCAGACTCTGCATCCTGACTTTGGTTCAGTAAAGTACCCGTTAAGGATCACTTCCATAACTGTTACCTCATTTGTTTTCCAGCCTGAAACTGATTGATGGTCACTTGCCTCTGTTATGAATTTACGTACAAAGTAGTTCAATTATGCCCAAAGTAGTTTTTTTTAGCAGCTGATTTGGTGTCAGTTACTATCGGTTATTGATCCTCTGGTGTCGACTCACACACAGCTGCTGTAACCAGTCACATTGCGACGCACTTGCGTCACGCAGCACTGTGCCTAAGACAGGAAGTCTGACCCAGAAACAACACAGAGAATCCAGTCAGTTTTCAAAATAAAATACCACGTGATCTGAAGCGGAGAAACAGGACAAAATAGAGATGGCAGCAACGCGCTCTGAGGACGCTCCGCCTCTGAAGCGGGATTTAAAGACACCAGATCACATGACGTTATAATGCCGTCCTGAGGAGGAAGCACACGATCTATACAATGTTAAAGTTACATAATCAATAAAAAGGAGAAAACAAATATTCCTAACATTTTATTTCATGTCCAGACCAAATAACAAAACCAGAATACACTCAATCATACAACCATATTTAAAGTAGATACACTACACAAAACAACAAAACACAGAAACAGAAATATTTCGTGATTACAGCTGAACTCAAACAGCTAAAAACTGAAGAATTATTTTTGGTTGATAAAAGTTTAAGATACTGAACATAAAAATAAGAAACAGAAAGAGTCCACTGTAAAAAAAAATGTGTATTAATATGAAGGAAAAATAACTGAAGGATGAAAAAAATAAAATCAGTTTATAAAAACAGGAAGTGTAAAATAAAAGGGACAGGAGATCAGATGACGGCTCGGAGGCTTCCTGTCCCGACTTTCTTCCTCAGAACCTCGACCAGACGCTCCAACCTGAGGAGGAAGAGGAGGAAGAGTAGGAAGAAGAGGAATAATTCATAAACACTGATGCAAACTGATCAGAAAGATTAACATTGTAGGTTTGCAGACAGTAAAATATTATTCCACAGTGGCTCCTGCAGGATCTGGTTTCTATCGGAGGTCGGGGGGGGGGTGTCTGGCGGTGGAGGTGTTTCTGCAATGAACGCGGTTCAGACAAACGGATCATGGAGCCAAACCGAGAAACCGTTCAGATTGATGGTGTTTGACCCTCAATTGCCAGCTCCAAAACGTATATGGAAGACCTCTTTTAACCTTATTTATCCCGACCCGTAGCTAGCTGTTACACACACACACACACACACACACACACAGTAACTGTTCTACTGCAACCTGAGCTCATCTACACCCAGAATGTCTGACTGCAGGAACCAAACTGCCCCTCTGCTAGCTACAGAGATGCTCACAGCTTTAGCTTTCTGAACGTCTCTGTGTGTGATCGGACTCTCACATAGGGCAGACAGGCTGTGGGTAGTTGGTTATAGAGGGGCATTACAGCCCTGGCTGTGGGTAGTTGGTTATAGAGGGGCATTACAGCCCTGGCTGTGTAGCCATGGTTTAATGGTAGTGGAACTACCTGGTTTTGACTTTCTGTATACGCTGTAGATTGTGGGCGGAGGTCTAACAGAGAATATTATCAGTGCAGAGACAGAAAAAGGAAAACTGAGATGAGAGTTGGAAAATTGACCCTGGATGACTTTCTAACACACTCTCTCTCTCTCTCTCTCTCTCTCTTTCTCTCTTCTCTCTCTCTCTCTCTCCAAACCAAATTAAACTTCCTGTCTCTAATAAGCAGCAGATTTCTATCACCCCCCCTCCCCTCCCGAGAGCAAATATTCCTCTCTCCACTATTCAGAAACTTGGGAGGCTCTTCAGAGCCGGCCGCCCCCCCGCTGGCAGCCAAATTAGAGCCACAGGTTTGAGCCCAGGAGGACGGCGTGGGACGCAGACGGACGACTTAAGCTGTTTTCATCATGAATCTCATCCCTTCATCTTCAGACTGATGAGATGAGAAGCAGCAGAAGAAGAAGTCACGTTATTCAGCATCTGACCGTCATCCTGTAGGATCCGAAATCTGAAGGATTAATTCTTCCTGATCAACTCGCCGGCAGAGACGCTCACACCGATGTCCGCGGAATATGAATCATCACACCAAATCTCTTTAGTGCCACACGCTTAACCGGTCTTTGAACACATCCCAGAGTCTCTGACAGCTGCTGTTAGAAACTGCAACATGTGTCTGATGTCACTGGTTTCACTGGTTTCACTGGTTTTTACTGGAGACGTTTTACAGGCACAACACTGTAAAACCAAGCTGAGAAAACTCTGAAGTTTTGAAATAAATTAATAATGAATCTTTAACAGGGCTGCAGCTCTTTCATTTCATTTTCCAGGACCTTTTCTTGACACTACAGGGCCACACTCGCTCACAAACAAGCTGCTGTTTTAGGTGAATTTACTACATTAATGTGGCCACAGCAGTGTGGGTTTTTCAGTGGATATTTACAGAGCGGGGCAGCCAGTGGCCGATATATAACGCCAATATCCAAACAGAGAACAGTCCTGTATAATTCTTTTCTATTCTTCATGCACATGTTTACAGTAGAATGAATTACTCTTACAGTACAGGGATTTAAGTGCAGTGTGTAGTTTCTGCCACTAGGGGGTCTTTGACATCGAACAATAAGAAAAGAGAAAGTGTGATGAGGTGGTGAAGCAGCATGGGATCATGGGAGTTGTTGTCTTCACCACCACTGCAGGCCAATTATTGCAGAGCTCAGATTGTTTCTCTGATAACTTAAGATCCAGACGTCCGATGACTAAAATCCTTCATCCGGTTCAAATCTAGAGTTAAAATGCACCAAGATCTAAACAGTGGATGGTAAACATGTTCACTGTAGTCTCATACCCTGGTCGTCAAATACAGACGCGAGTGGTGTTCAGGTGGTTGTAATCTGCAATTTCACCACTAGATGTCACTAAATCTGAAAAAGTGGTCCTTTAACAGAACTTCTGAAACTAAATATAAATGATTTCATTCTGGAGTCAAACTAAAGACGATACATCGATAATTACATCGGTGTGCACTTCAGGGACAGTTGGTAAAGTGAGACATTCAGTATTTTATAATTACTGCAGCAGCTGCTCACATGAACCCAGGTGTGTATTTACCTGCAGCTCTTCATCGGCCAATCAAACAGCATGATGTCATCACCCCGCGCAGTGTGTGTGTGTGTGTGTGTAAAGCAACATGTCAACAGGCTTGTTGGTATTTAGTAAAGGTCACTGGATGTATGTAGACACACACAGACACACACACACACACACACACACACACATACAGACAAACAGACACACAGACACACAGACACACACACACACAGACACACACACACACAGACCAGCGATCATAAATAAATGTGTGGGTAATAACTGTCTTTCGTGGGTGAAATGTATTTATACATATATAGGACAGAATACCATTGATAACAAATAGAACTGAATATAGAGAGAACTGTGATCCAGGTAAACAGCATTTAATATTTATTGCATTGATTCTATATTAAGTCTATAAAAACTCCCTGTATGAGGATGGTTATGGGATGGACTCTGTGTAAGCCATAAGCAGGCACTCATTGCTCCTAGGAGCTTGGAAAACTGCAGTAATTACTCCAGTGTTCAAATCAGGTGACCACACGATCATTAGTAACCACAGACCCTCAGTATCCCTCATACATCCTTCAGTGTGGAAAACAACTGTTTTCTTCTGAAAATCACAATATCTGTCAAAATATGTTTTTATCGTATTGTGCCACTCTACTGAGTTTGATTCATTATTTTGAGCTAACATATGAATTATTAGGTCACCAAATTGTTTCTGTTGAACTCAGATTCACGTTCATGAACTGGGAACTCTGAGAGGCAGCTGGACACTGAACCAACCTCAGTGGTTCGGATCAATCAGAGTCCTCAGAGGAACTACTGGCTTTAACGCCAGCTGTGTGACTGTGTGGCTGCTAATGGGGTTAGCATAGCAACTGCTAGCATTATCAGGTATTTCTACAGTGGAAAAGGAACAGAGGATGACACTGAAGGCTCTGATCAGCTGAACACTGCAGTTCCCTGTACGCTCGCCGACAGCTGCAGTTAAAGGTAGAATCTGACCTGCGGACTCTCTCGCTGGCCTCTTGCTCCGCCTCCCGACAGCGCTGAAGCTCCACCTCCACGCTCTGCTTCTCCTTCGACAGCTGCTGGACCTGGAGCTGCAGGGGCGGGGCCTGATGAGCCGCCAGCGACGAACCCGCCGGAGAGATGCTGTCACCGGGCGACGAGGGAGGAGCGGTGAGGAGGTCCTGAGAGCTGAAGATCATAAAAGATCAGATTTAAAGATGCTGGTATCGTATGAACTAGGGCTGGGTAAAAAAATCGATTTGATTGATTTCATTTAAGTTTTGCAATATCAATTCATAGGGCATGAGATCGATTTTTCTTTTTTTTTTCCCCATGAACTAACCCCCAGTAGTCTTGTGCGTGATTGCGCAGCAGCGCGTTTATGTCAGGTTGACGTTCAAGCGCGCAAGCGTGCATTCACAAAATGACCGAAGCAGGTAAAACCACGCTCAGCAAGCTTAAGTCTGCCGTCTGGAACCATTTCGGATTTAAACAAAAGGACAAAGAGCTGGATAAATCCAAAGTGGTTTGCAAGATCTGCCAAGCGGAGCTCAGTTATTGTAGAAATACTACAAACCTCAGAAACAACTTGACAAGGTATCACACTGTGCTAGCGTTAACGTTAACTTTAGCTTCCGACAACAAGCCCTCCGGGGCAAAACAAAAGAAACTGAGGGAACCACTAACATTACCAGCCGATTCTCTGCGGGCCATAAAGATAACAGAGGCCATCGCAACTTTTGTTTGCAAAGATTTACGCCCAGTAGTGGAAAACGAAGGCTTCCAGCGGCTCATTCGGGTGCTCGAACCACAATCCGTTATGGTGCAACGTTAACATCTGACTGAAACTGTTATCCCCATGATGTATACATGTGTGAAAGACGACATCCTAACGAAAATGCAGTCAGCAGAGAGAGTCGGCATAACGTGTGACTCCTGGACAGCACTGTCAACGCAGTCGTACTTGACAGTGACTTCTCACTACATCGACGAGTGGTGCCTCATGTCTCGTGCTACAGACCACCGAGGTTCTTACGAGCCACACCGCTATTAATATAGCTGATATGTTGATGGGGGCCATACAGGAATGGGGGCTAACCAGCAAAGACCCAGCAGTAGTGACGGACAACGCTGCAAATATGGTTCATGCGGTTGAGATAGCTAATGCACGTCGGCTGCTTCGCGCACACACTGAACTTAGCCTCACAAGCAGGTCTAAAAATCCCAGCCGTGTCACGTCTTCTTGGCCGAGTGAGGTGTATAGCAACGTTCTTTCACCGGAGTACGACGGCAAACCACATACTAAAATAAAAACAGAAGCTGCTTCAACTGCCAGCGCACAAGCTAACAGTAGACGTTGTGACTAGGTGGAACAGTGCACTGGACATGCTGGAGCGCTTTTTAGAGCAACAGCCTGCTATCTCTGCCACTCTCCTTTCACAAGACGTGCGCAGGAATGAAAAAGATCTGTGCACCTTAACAGAGGAGGATGTAACGATTGTCGAAGATTTGGTGCGGGTCTTGAGACCAGTGAAAGAAGCTACACTGGCAATGTCGGAGGACAAGCAACCAACTCTGTCCGTCATCACCCCACTTCTCTCTTCTTTGTGAAATGTCTTTAAGATATGATGGGCATAAGGACACAATGTACGCAGCATTGGCGCTGGATTCTCGCTTTCCAAATTATCAGAATATCGCTCAAATTGGCAAAATAATCTTAAAATTTATAGAAAGGCCCTCCGTAATGCCAGAGGAGCCTATTACTCAGCACTAATAGAAGAAAATAAGAACAACCCTAGGTTCCTCTTCAGCACTGTAGCCAGGCTGACAGAGAGTCACAGCTCTATTGAGCCACATATCCCCATAAACTTAAGTAGCAATGACTTCATGAGCTTCTTCTATAATAAAATTATTACTATTAGAGAGAAAATTAATCACCAACTGCCATCAACAGTTATCAGTGGCTCTCCAAGTTCAGGGACTTCTGCCAATGTAAACTTAGATATATATTTAGACTGTTTTTCTGCTATCGATCTTCATCAGTTAACTTCAATCATTTCTTCATCGAAGCCATCAACCTGTCTATTAGACCCGATCCCAACTAGGCTGCTTAAAGAAGTTGTTCCCTTAATTGGCACTTCTTTACTGGATATGATTAATCTTTCTTTATTATCAGGATATGTACCACAGTCCTTTAAAGTAGCTGTAATTAAACCCCTTCTTAAAAAGCCCACTCTTGACCCAGGGGTTTTAGCCAACTATAGACCGATTTCTAACCTCCCCTTCCTCTCTAAGATTCTGGAGAAAGTAGTCGCCAAAGAGTTGTGTGACTTTCTGCATAACAATAGTTTATTTGAGGATTTTCAATCAGGATTTAGAGTTCATCACAGCACAGAGACAGCTCTGGTTAAAGTTAATAATGACCTTCTGACTGCTTCTGACAATGGACTTGTCTCTGTACTTGTATTATTAGATCTTAGTGCTGCATTTGACACCATTGACCATAATATTCTTTTGGGGAGACTTGAGCATCAAATTGGCATTAAAGGAACCGCACTAAGCTGGTTTAAGTCATATTTATCAGATCGCTCTCAGTTTGGACATGTTAACGATGAATCTTCAATAAATACTACAGTTAGTCATGGAGTTCCACCATGTTCTGTACTTGGACCAATACTATTTACTTTATATATGCTCCCTTTAGGCAACATTATTAGGAATCACTCCATTAACTTTCACTGTTACGCAGATGATACGCAGTTATAGCTATCAATCAAGCCCGATGAAATTAATCAATTATCTAAATTACAAACATGTCTTAAGGACATAAAATCCTGGATGAGCTGCAATTTTCTGATGTTAAACTGAAATTCTTGTTCTTGGCCCCAAAAACCTTAGAGACTCACTGTCTAAAGATATAGTTACTCTAGATGGCATTAACTTGGCCTCTAGCACCACTGTCAGGAATCTTGGAGTTATCTTTGATCAGGATTTGTCATTTAACTCCCACATAAAGCAGACCTCTAGGACCACCTTCTTTCATTTACGTAATATTAGAAAAATTAGACACATCCTATCACAGACAGATGCAGAAAAACTAATCCATGCATTTGTTACTTCAAGGCTGGATTACTGCAACTCTTTATTATCAGGTTGCCCCAATAAGTCCATTAAAACGCTCCAATTAATTCAGAATGCTGCAGCACGAGTACTGACAGGAACTAGAAAAAGAGATCACATCTCTCCTGTACTAGCTTCTCTGCATTGGCTCCCTGTAAAATGTAGAATTGAATTTAAAATCCTCCTCCTCACCTATAAAGCTCTTCATGGTCAGGCCCCTTCATATCTTAAAGAGCTCATAGTACCCTATTACCCCACTAGAACACTACGTTCTCTGAATGCTGGGCTACTTGTGGTTCCTATAGTCTCTAAAAGTAGAACAGGAGCCAGAGCCTTCAGTTACCAAGCTCCTCTCCTGTGGAACCAGCTTCCAGTTGTGGTTCGGGAGGCAGACACCCTCACCACATTCAAGAGTAGGCTTAAGACATTCCTCTTTGATAAAGCTTATAGTTAGGGCTGGATCAGGTGAGTCCTGAACCATCCCTTAGTTATGCTGCTATAGGCCTAGACTATCGGGGGATTTCCCATGGTGCACTGAGCTCCTCCCTTCCTCTCTCTTTATGCACTCATTCATGTCCCATTAATGCATGTTACTAACTCCACTTCTTCCCCGGAGTTCTTGTGCTTTCTCGTCTCGCAGGTTCTCATGGATCCTGGTGGAGCCTCCTGCCATGGTCCTGCTTGACTGCCATTGCCAATACTGTTGTTGCTGTGCACCTGTCTGTCTGTCTGTCTCTCGCTCTCTCTCTCTCTCTCTCACCCCAACTGGTCGAGACAGACGACCACCCACCTAGAGCCGGAGGATCTGTCCTAGGTTTCTGCCTTTTAACAGGCAGTTTTTCCTTGCCCTTGTCGCCAAGTGCTTGCTCATGGTGGTACTGTTGGGTCTCTGTAATTAATGTTAAAGAGTTCGGTCTAGACCTGCTCTATTTGAATAGTGTCCTGAGATAACTTCTGTTATGAATTGGCGCTATACAAATAAAATTGAATTGAATTGAATTGAAATTGAATCTATTTATTTATAAAATACTGATGGTAATGATGCTGATGAACGAGCTGAGGAGATGAGTGAAGCGACTTCGCCCAAGAAGCCCAAGAAATCCAGCTCCTTGGAGTCTCTCCTTGGGGCAGTTTACTCACCAACAGTAAAGGAACATGGACAGAAAACTCCAGCAATGAGGGCTGAAGATGAAATCAGAAGATACAGGGCGGAAGATCCTGCTGGGCTGAATGAAAATCCTCTGACCTGGTGGAGGTCAAATGAAAGGGAGTATCCACTGTTGGCTCGCCTTGCGAAGCAATACCTTTGTGTCCCAGGGACCAGTATTGCGTCGGAGCGGGTGTTTTCAACTGCGGGTGATATTGTCACTGCAAAAAGGAGCTGCCTAACCCCAAATCATGTCAATGAGCTCCTTTCCTGCACAAGAATCTCACAATTGAGAAGTGAGAACAAAGTCACAATAACAGGACTTGACTTTAGACAGTTTAAGTTTACTTTTAGTTTTGTTACCATTATTATTATTTTTTAATGCAATTTGCAGTGATGGGATGTTGTAGTTCAAGTACACTTTCACTTGCAATTCCTTTCTAATTTCAAAATTGCATTTTTGAGACTTGTGACAGTTTTGTTTACAGCTCAAGTTTAAACTGTCCAATGTACAAGTTTGCACTTAAAACATGTTTAAGGTGAAGAGAAGAAATAAAGTACATTTGTATTTTGTAACACAGTTGAGCCATTTTCATTCTTCAAGAGCAGATTGAATTGAATCGAATTGAATCGAATCGAATCGTGATTAATCGATTCAGAACCTTATGAATCGAAATCGAATTGATTTAGGAAATTGGCCACGATACCCAGCCCTAGTATGAACCTACATGGACCGAACGCATCCATTGGTACCAACCGTGTCAGGCTAGCATGTTGGCTCCAAAGTTAGGCTACAGATGGAAAACTGCAATGGCTCTTTCCAAAGGGATCATTTGACCTTTGACCTCCAGATATCTAATCAAAATGGGTTCTATGGGTACCCACGAGTCTCCCCTTTACAGAAAGCCCTCTAGTGCATGGGATTATGCTAATGCAAGTTGCATGTGGTATGAATTTGGCCTGGTGTATCTGAATACCCCTGCAGACTGGGGTCCATAAAGAATGACTGGAAAGCTGAGACACTTCATGCCACCCCAGTTAAAAACGTCTGGACAGGCCCCTACAGGCCGACCCTATTCAGCTACAACAGGTTTATTCCTAATAACATTATTTATTGTTGAATCCTGAACAGAACTGGTTCAAGAACTGGAACTACTTTGGTGGAACAGGGTTCCTCCTGGTCCAGAATTCCCCATTAATATACAGGATGTTATAAAGTGATGTGAGAGCAGCTCGATGTGACCTCCTCCCTGTGACGGAGCTGATAGTTAATCAATCAGCTGTGATATTGATAGTTTCTGACCGGGCTGCAGGTTAATTAAAGGTAAACAGACAGACAGACAGACAGACAGCAGAGGACAGAACAAAGGACAACCCGGTTCATCTCTGGTGCTGCTGTTTGTTCTTGACGCTTCCTGTTGAAGGTTTTTACATTTTAGGTTTGGGTTTCCATGGTTACCATCAGGGTCCGCCCTGACCTGCCGGGCAGTGAGTCTGACTGTTGTCCACTGAGCTCCTAAACCAACAAGCAGCAGGTCACAGGTCAAAGGTCACAGCAGGGTCAGTCTTGTTCCTGACCGGCAACAAATTAAGTTTTTAGTCAAACAGATGTCAACCTGCTGGGATCCACCAGAGACCAGCTGGGACCAGGCAGGGATCCAGTTCCACCAGAGACCAGCTGGGACCAGGCAGGGGTCCAGATCCAGCAGAGACCAGCTGGAACCAGGCAGGGATCCAGATATTCATTAAACCCGCTAACAGGAATAAGCACACCTCAGGGGTTCAGTGTCCAGTGGGTTCACTTCATCTGGGGTTCAACCTCTGTGGCTCCAACAGTGAAGTAACAGAAGGACACAGAGAGTCTGACAGCGACTGCTCTTGGCTGGTTAGCTCTGTTAGCTCTGACTACCGGCTAGCTGTTCCTGCTACACTGCTGTGGACAGACTGTCAATCATTGTGGTCGGTGTCGAGCTCTTTTGCAGGACTCTGATGTATTTTGTAAATTTGCCAAGAGGGAGGAGCTAACAGAACTGAAGGGAGGAGTCCACAGGTAGCCTAGCTAGGGAGACTCAAGAGTAGCAGCCACCGCTATTGAGGTATCTCTTTATTATTCTGCGTGTAACGGCTGCACATTCTTACAACTGGAGGACGTAAGACCCCCTTTAGGCCTTAAATTAAAATGTTAAATGTTATTCAGAACCACTGGAGGCTGCAGGAGTCCTAAATGTGATTCAGTCAGATCTCATAAACAGACTGCTGAATTAGCTGTTAGCAGTTCACAGTGACTCAGTTATCTCTGTGAGGATGAGGAGGAGGACGAGGGAGACTCACCTCCTGCAGTATCTTTGCCTCCCCTTCACTCTCCAGCGCCCCCCCGCGGAGGCTTTAGTCTTTGTCCTACTGAATGTCTGTCACAGAGCAGATCCTGTGAGTCCTGAACAAGCAGTTCAATTACTGAGAACAGTGAAGGTTTCATTCCCCACCTCCTCTCGTCATTTTAATTATGTTATAATTATGTTAATGTTTGTAAGAAAACCCTGTACACACACACACACACACACACACAGATATAAAGGGGCTATATAAAGTAAAATCAAACTAATCTTTATGAGAAATGAAGAGAAATAACAGGAGAAAGTTTCTGTTTCTCCCGAAAAACACTGAAATAAAACCAAAATCCAGGCCGCCCCCCCACCTGCTGATCCCCCCCCTCCTCTGTCTCTCTGCAGGCGTTCAGCATCAATCCTGATGATATATGGAGACTCACAGTTTAGACAGCGTGGACAAACAGCACGACTCACTTCTTACATGACTCTGTTCTGTTTCACTCTGCAGAGCTTTACAACCTTTTGACATTAACACACTGTCTTTATAGGATCTGATGTTGGGAGGCAACATAACACCAATCAATAATCAAACACTTTATCAGTTACATATATAAGAAACAAAATGCACATCTTGAAAGTTTCCATATGATTGTGAATCCTGTTCTGTCTCTATAATAATCAGATTATTGATGAGCAGTGAGTGAACGGATGATTGTGATTGTGCTTTTAGATGGACATTAGCCTGATTGCTAATGCAGCCAAATTGCTAGCTATCTAACGTAGCAAACACTGTCAGCTAGCTTCATTCAGACTCCCGAGGATAACAGTCTGAATAAAATAATAAGATTAAATAAACATGACTCTTCTTCAGAATCAGGAAAAAAAAACCTCAAGAACACAAAAAGTAGAAATATAATGATTCAAATAGTCAGCCTGTGAAGCTGCTGTATGTTAAAGCTCTACAATTAGTCCCCTAACCTCTACAACTAGTCCCCTAACCTCTGAAACTAGTCCCCTAACCTCTACAACTAGTCCCCTAACCTCTGAAACTAGTCCCCTAACCTCTACAACTAGTCCCCTAACCTCTGAAACTAGTCCCCTAACCTCTACAACTAGTCCCCTAACCTCTGAAACTAGTCCCCTAACCTCTACAACTAGTCCCCTAACCTCTGAAACTAGTCCCCTAACCTCTACAACTAGTCCCCTAGCCTCTGAAACTAGTCCCCTAACCTCTACAACTAGTCCCCTAGCCTCTGAAACTAGTCCCCTAACCTCTGAAACTAGTCCTCAGACTTTTGACCCTTACTGACTGATATATGAGAAACATTTCGTAACCACAGCACAGAAGATATCAGTCATTCACACAGCAGAAGTTAATGTTATCTCTGTTTCACACAGAGGAAGTTCAACAATACTGATCGCAGTTTGCAGAACTCTGAAACTAGACCTTAGACCTGTGAAACTCAAAGTATGAACTCTCCCATGACTCACAAATTTGATAACTTCAGACTCAACACAATAAAAAAGTCTCAGACTACAACACAAATGACTCATGACTTCACTTGGACTTGAGCCTTCTGACTGAGAACCTGATACCTTCCGGGTGTATCAAAACGTGGAAAAAGAAGTGTTGTTCTTTGTATTGTAGATACTTTATTTAGTCATCAACAACCCAAACTGGAAATATACGCAGTATCATTGAGATCTGTGATATTGTTCCACTGGGTTTCAGCTGTAAATCAAAAGTACCTCCTCAATAGGTGCACCTGTCCTTCTAATATTATAGACGGATTATTATCTTATTATATTGTGGATACAAATCTACACAGGCCACACATTTGCTATCAAATTAAAGAGGAAGTTGTGTTTTTTAATATGAAAATAACACATGAATGTCAGTTTTATTGTGTGTTTGAGATAGAGCTGTTTGCTTGGATTGTGTAGGAAAATGCTGATTTAACAGAGTTCTCAGTGAATTCTACTGCAGGGTTAGAAAGTGTGTCACAATTCAGTTCTTTTCCCTTCATTTCCCACAACAACTAACACTAATGCATTCAATTAAGTTGCAGCAGAGAACCATAAAGAACTGAGCCGCACAGAAAATTATACCAAAGATGATTTTGTTTGTTCTGTTGTTAAGATGCTGTTTACTTTACTTTACTTAGGACTTGATGGCAATGTGGTTAAGTGGTTAGCACTGTCGCCTTAAATCTCCAGTCACTGCCCTTGACCAAGGCACTGCCTCAGATCTGGAAACAATCTCTGGGCTTCGACACAGAGAGCTAACATTACGTTAGCTAGTCAAGGGAGTTCTGTTTAACTCCTAGGCTTGTTAACCATCAGCCACGTCACTGTCAAGAAATCAGTGTCAAGGTTATTATTTAGTTCATTCATTTATCTGTTCCATTAATTTAGAACAGTGAACAGAGTGTACAGAAGATGAAATGGGCACCCAGCAGCCAATAAGAATCAAGTATTCATCCAGGACAATGGTATAATAAAGGACAACTTAACTGAACTTTGGGCTTCAGTGCAAAGACTTGAAACTTATGTCTTGTAAAACAAGGACTTGGTCCCCCCCCAGAACTCTGCAGCTGGTTCCCAGACCCCCACAACTAGACCTTGGATCTTTAACTAGTCCTGAGACCTTTGAGCTCGCTGACAGATGTATGAGATGGAAACATTGTGTAACCACAGCAGTTGGTTTTCAGAGAAAAGTGTTAATCTAATCTCTGTTGGACAGACACGAAGTTCAACCAATAAACACCCTGATCAGTTTGTCTTCTTCATCACACTAAATACAAACAAGTTAAGACTTTAAGGAACTTACAGACAAATCATATGATTCTTTAATGAGTGACTAGTTCACTCAATCCAGATGAAATATACGGGGTTTGTATCAGGGCTTTATACATGGGCTGACTCATAGAGCCTCTATTAAAGGATCTCTGATGCCTTTTGTGGAGGTTTAACATACTAATGAGCTATTACAGTGAAGAGACCCATTACATTTATCTACCATTTCAGAAGGGATATATCCATGAAGGAATGGCTGAAATGTCCTCCTATGAAAGCAATGTTACAGGCAAGATATGGACATGAAGATATGCTCTACTCCAACAGACGTAGAACTACACAAGGTGTGGAACCAAGTAGATACAGGTACATGGGCAAAACATGAGAGTATTTTTATTTTGTTTGTAAATGACTGACTGTATGAATGTATGTAAATATGTATCTAAAGGTCCAACTGGAGAGATATATGGGATTATAAATGTGGGAGATGTACAGCTAGTCAGTCATATCCTGTTTTCATTTTTTTTACTTTTCTGCTCTAAAAAAATGTGAATTTCTTTTTCAATAAAAAGAGAATAAAAAGGGAACATTTGGTTATGCTATGGTAAGGATATGTGATGATGTTCTTAATGACGTGTATAATTGGAGGTACTATTTCATTTACATAATCTTTCATACATCCTATATGTAGTATAGACAGATACTATATATAATGCTGTGTTTCTGTTATATTCCATTGTCCTGTTTCTTGTTCCTGTTGTGTTTGCTGTGATATTTGGATGTTGATTTACATCTTATTGACTGGGTATGTATGGTTTTCCTTTAGTCAATGAAATAAAAAAGAACAATAAATAAATAATACGTTCCATCCACCATTTCCTTCGTCTGGACTCGCAGTCTGTTAAAGTCTCTTGTTTTTTTAAACAGCCTTGTCTCCCTTGCATGTTTGAATGAATGTACTAATATATAAGGTATATGACAGTGGACATTGAGGCTCTAGATGTGTGATGACATCTTTGTTGTTCTTCCTCATTTTTAAAGTTCATGGTTAACATGAGTATTGGCTGTACTGCCCTCCTCTTTATAAAGAGCTCCCGTATTACTGAGACAATCAGTGACCTGCACCTCTACAAACTGAACACGGCAGAAACCTCCACCTGCAGGTAAATAAATGACCAACAGCAATTTGTTCAGAGCTGACCTGAGTCAATAATCTGATTTAGTATCTTTTCTGCTGCAGTTTGCAGAGACGAGCAGATTGTTGGAAAACGCAGTGAAGGTAAGAAACTTTTAAACGTATTATAATTATCTGTCAGTGTAACACTGAAGAGGAGCTATTGAAAGACATAGAAATATAATACTCATAGGAATAGTTTCAGTTGTGTATAATCACCTGAAAATAGGGACTTTTACATTAGAATGAGCAGCGTTTAATACCTGTTGTTTAATATGTCATTTACTCATGTTTGTTTAACTCCTGTTGATTTACAATTCTCAGTTAAAACTGTCATTTAACACGTATAACTGACATTTTTAGCTCCACCATGGTTAAAAGTCTCTGAACAGATAAATCATAAGGGTGTTGTTTATTCATATTTGGACTATAATGAAGTGTGAGACCTGTAGTGGACAGTGGCAGTGCGTTATCCACTCTGCTGTTGTTCTTCCTACAGATGTATCTCCTGTCCCCGATGATGCTGGTCCTGCTGTCGGCTGGAACCAGTTTGGCTGCTGTGAATATGGACTGGCTGACTAATATTGTTAGAGGCATCAGGACACAGTGAGTAGACCTGCATTGTAACTGCATTTCATGTCATTTACAGGACAACAAGGTTCAGTTCACCCAAATAACAAAAACATAACTAACTGCAGTACCATTAATTAATTTATTCCTGTTGGATTTATTTTGTTTTATGGGGGGGGGTATACCAGGGCGGGGTGTGGTCCGATCCAAGACGAGCTAGACAAGCTACTGTAGCTCAAACTGCTGAAACAGTTAATGCTAGAAAGGGGTCAGACACACAGTGCAGAGCAGGCTGCTGGTCTGGGACCAGTCAGGGAGTCCAGTGCTCACAGTGTTACTGCTGATTGGTGAAAGCTCTTCAATCATCTCAGTTCTGCGTCACCATTTTGTTCATTTCCCCTTCAACAGGTACAGAATAGACAGACAATTCTGTGTGGCTGCAAACATCCCACTGAATCTTCCACCACAGGACCTCGCTAATGTCCTTCGGAACGACGGCAACACAGAGGATGTTGAAGATGAACTTACATATAGTAAGGTGTACCAAGGCAGGAGTGTGACTATAGCCAAACCTGTACGCCATGAACATGCAGAATATATAGTTCTGAAAAACTTGGGCCAACTGAGCTCCAATAGCGAGGGACACTTCCTGCTCATCTACTCTTACCTCTCCCCATGTGCAGGCCAGTGTGCAAATCCCGATGACTGGCACAACATCCTTCAATACATTGTTGCAAATGTTATTCCATATTGGACAAATTATGCCTTTGTGTTTACAACAGTCTACGATAACCCCAATGATGGTAGTACCATTAGCAGACAAGACTTGACAAAAGCAGTAAAAGAGCTTGGGAAGTCTGGGCTTGGTCTTAGAAACATTTTCCGCTGTTACCAACCAGGTCGTTTACCATTTCAGTGCCACAGCTGCTCTTCACAGGGGAGAGTTTCAGATGTATGCGTTGATAACAACTTTGTGCCTCAGCAGGGTAGAAGCAGAAGCAGCAGCAGAAGCACCATCAGAAGCAGTAGCAGTGGCAGTAGAAGCAGGGACACAAGTATGAGCACAGACAGAAGTAGAAGCACCAGTAGAAGCAGAGACAGAAGTATGAGCACGGACAGAGGTAGAAGCACCAGTAGAAGCAGAGACAGAAGTACGAGCAGAGAAAGAAGTAGAAGCACCAGTAGAAGCAGAGACAGAAGTATGACCAGAGACAGAAGTACGAGCAGAGACAGAAGTAGAAGCACCAGTAGAAGTAGTAGCGGCAGCAGTAGAAACAGGGACAGAGGTAGAAAGAGACAGAGAAACACGAGCAGAGAAAGAAGCCCAATTGGATGAGGAAGCAGAGGTTGGACGAGTTTTGGGGTCTGATGTGATTCAGTTTAGATTTATTAGACTTATTAGAACCTGAACCTAAAACTTCCCCTGAACCTGAATCCTGACTGACGCTGGGGACACACAGAAAGTCGACATGCAGCAAAGCGTCCTGAAGTGCTGTCTGCTTCCTTTTGGTGCCCAATAACTGAGCAGTTCATACAACCTCTATTTTTTCCGCGATAAAATTGGGCAAGAAAAACAGACCGATAACATAAATGAAATATTGAATTATTTGACTGATAAATGTTGAAATATGCATCCCTCGCCTGCCAACCCTGTTTCAATATTGATTCACAGTTTTTCTCCCCACGTGATGAAATATCAAAATCTGATCATCCACTATATTTATCATTAACAGTATCACTGCTGTTTGTCATTGTGTTGTTTGTGCCAATAGATCAATCACAGTGCTTTGCGGTGTGTTGGCCTCTTGTGTGGCCTCTCCATGCTTAGTAATGCAATCTAACTTCTGTTATGAATTGGAACTGAAAGTCCCATTACCACCTTTCAAGACTGAACTCTCACTTCCACTTTTTTAGAAACTACTGGCTGGAAATATACAGTGTTGGAGGTATTTTACACACAATAGAGATTACATTTGTTTGCAGACGATCTCCTGTCATATCAAAGTGATCATCATTAATATAGTGAAACATTTTAGAGAGAAAATTCTACTTGACTGCAGATTTAATTTACTTATACTTCTATATATGTGTATACAATGTGGAATGTAATTCATGTATACATATACTGTATATGTTTTTTATTATACAACTGTGTGTTTATTTTATTATGCTACTTGTTTGGTATTATGATGCTTAGCTAATATATGTGTAGGCAGTATGGGGTGGTTGGGTCAAATGTTTGTGAACACTGTTTCTCAAATAAAAATATGCATTAAAAGACCAAATTCTAATCTCCTAATAACAAAATATATTTATATATCTGTTGTATTGATCTGTGTTAGGGGTTATTTGTCACTCTCACAGCACCGTGATGATGAGGGATTTTAGTTGAGGCGGAGGCTTTTAAATAGTCTGACCTGGGATTGGCTTGCAGCACCTGTAGCTCCGCCTCCAGGCGCCGCCTGTCCTCAAGAGCTCCACCTCTCTCTCTCTGAAGCCTCAGCAGCTCCTCCTGATTGGATAAAATGCACACGTCAATCACATTCACCTTCTGATAGTCAACTTATTGAAATCCACAGCACTAGAAAGAGTGATCTGAGTGATGATGATGATGATGATGATGATGATGATGATCTCACTGGTTAACAGACCTGTCAATCATACTCTGATGTTGAGGGTTTAGTGCGGTTGTTAACTGTGTTTGTGGTGCTGATCTCAGTGAGACTGTGTTCAAATAAAGGATTAATTAATTAATTGACTAATTAGTGTGAGCACGAGTGTCAGCACACTTCATGGTGAGGATTTAATTTTTATCAGCGTGTATTTAGCTCCTGATGTACTGAGACTGAACCTCCGGGTGCATTCTGGGAAGGAACGAGAGCGTTAAGGATATCAATAGATCACAAAACTTTTATTCTGGCAGCAGTTCAGCTCCACCGGACAGCAAGGTTTTATGTTTTAGTCCATAAATAACCGTCGGCACCGAACTAAAGCCAAACTGAGAGACGCAACAAGGAGAATTTAAGGAGGAGGTGCAGGAGGTGTTAATACGTAGCTAAACACAGACAAACACTGTAAATCTTTATTAAAACAGTTAACCTGCAGTCATTTCAACTTTAATAAACACCCTATTACCGTCTGTTCTCACCCGTTACCGCCTGTTATCTGGTGGATCCTCCTGAAATATGGAGGAGGAGGCTCAAACACTCAAATGAAACTGATGAATACACTGCATGTCTGAGGAGTATATATCAAATCCACACAATGAAACACAATTTGTCGCCTGCCTCCTCACCTCTTCTGTCCTCACCCCCTAACACCTCCTCCTCCCACTCATAGAACTGCTGCTGCAGGGATCGAACCCACGGGCTGACAGTTACAGGACAGTGTACCTCACTGCCTCTGGTCAAACAGAGTGGAGCACGACTCCAGCAGGGATTACAGACCTGATTCCTGACCTCCTCCTCCTCCTCCTCTATTCTAATTAAAGCCCTCAAGGTCTGCGAGTTTAAAGTGAGACATCAAAAGAGGAACCAAACCCAGAGAGTCAATATGTGTCTTCTCCAGCCGGGCCGGAGGAGACGCTTCAAAAGAGCCGCCGACTTATTAATCAGAATAATTTCTAAATGAGATGATCAGTAAGCGGGAGCGACGGCAAGCTGACCTTTAACATGAGGAGTTAAGGTCAATGAAAGAGGAGGAGGAGGAGGGGGAGGAAGGGAGGAGGTAATAAAACTAACCTGCCTGGACCTTTAACAGCAGGAGGAGGAGGAGGAGGAGGAGGAGGAGGAGGAGAGTGTAGATGAGGAGGAAACGAGGGGAGCCTTAATTAGCATAGAGGAGGAACAGGATGATGGGGGAGGACGGAGAGGGGTGAGGAGGATGGGAGGAGGAGAGGAGTAAATGAAAGGAACCTCCTCTGACCTTTAACATGAGGAGGTAAAGGGGCAGTTCATAACAAATTAGCCCCCAAATTCAGCCCCCCAGTCAGCTGATTGAAGCTGTTGTGTTTGATCCGTTGGTCCTTCCAGGAGGCAGGATTACAGTCCCGATACAATGACATCACTTCCTGTCTGAAGGTCCGGTTTTTGGTCTGGTTTAAGTCCCCGACACACCGGGACAATGTCGGGCCATCAGTGACACTGCGGAGCATAGTGAAGATCTGATCTGATCGTTAAACGCGATATTCTAACAACCAGGAGCTGGTTGATGAAGGTCTCTGCAGACTGACGCCCCCTGCTGGTAAGGAGAGTCATTACCTCTGGAACGTACGTTGGCTGCAGCTGTGTCCTAGTGTCTCTGTTGGACGACACCTTTACAGGTCTGGTTTCTGGTCTGGTTTAAAGTTCTGGATTTAAAAGTTCTGGATTTAAAAGGTTTGGTTTAAAGTTCTGGATTTAAAAGTTCTGGGTTCTGGTCTGGTTAAGGGTCTGGTTCAGGGGTCTGGTTTCTGGTTTCGGCGTGCTGTTTTTCGGCGGCTCTCTGACAGTCTGTCAGTTAATTTAACAGCAGCTGTTGGTGTTTCTGTTGGAAATTAAAAACCTCTCCAGGCTCTAATCCCCCCGGAGCCCTCCAGCCTAATTAACAGACTTCATGAGGAAAAAAAGAGTGAGTGCTACATTAATAACAAAATGTAATATATTTCAGCAGAAGAAAACAGACTGCAGAGCTGCAGGAGGAAGATTCAACCAGCACCAGCAACACCAATCAATCTTATCATCTATCAGTCGATCAATAAACGATTGTTATTGTTGACCTGGATATGATCTTCTGTATAACTGTAACCTGCAGATGTTCCACCGATCAGACACCTGATCAACAATCAATCAATGCCTGCTGTGCCACCTGCTTGATCTGGTTTTACTGACATTAATAATGATTAATTTAATCAATGTGTTTGTCCTTCTATACCTGTGAGAGCCCTCAGTGACAGGTTCAGGGTTAACCACCAGAACTAAGTACCTGACCCGTCAATGCTTCACAACCAGCGCATATAAACACAGGCTGGGCTGTGCTGCTGTGCTACGGGGATCAATAAACTGGACCCAGACCTAAACCTGGTTCTGACCTGAACCTTCAAACAACATCCTCACTGTGATGGTGGAGGTCCTCGCAGAGATACAAACACACACACACACACACACAGTTTGAATAACAAGTTGCTGGCAAACATGCTGCAGCGTCTCCACGGCCGGTTGTCATGGCAACGGAGCAGACATCCCATCATCAACATTCAACAGAGAGCAGCAGTTAATATGCAAGAGAGAGAGAGAGTGTGTGTTTACCTCGCTCGCCCTCTGCTCTCTCTCCTGGATCAGCTCCTGTTCCAGCCGTTTACACTGCAGAGACAATCTGGATTTATTGATCTGATCACACACACACACACACACACACACAGATAATATAAAGAATAAAAATATAAACAACTATAGATATTGTATGTGTAAGTTCACTGTCTCTGTATCAGATATAAACCAGCATCACTGTAACATCATCAATCTCACATTCACAGTTGGATACAGTTTCCTCCCTCAGGTGTCCTGTGGGGTTGAGGTCCAGTTCCTCAACACCAAACCCGTCTAACAGGTCTTTATGGACCTTACTTTGACCCCTTTCCCTCCAAGTTCTTGTTCTTGATCCGGTTCTGTTCAAGAATCTTGGATCCTTGGTTCTGTTTAGGGAACCAGTGAGTGGAACCATTGTAATCAAGGATGAGGGGGCCGCACAATGCTCACAATTTCTGGTTCAATTTATCGTTATACAACAAAAGGTTGTAGAAGGAAAGTAATGTTTGCACTTCCTCATTTATAGGATAGATAGAATAACATATAAATAAAGCAATTTATAATATATAACAATAATTCTGTCTGGTTGAATGTGAAACAGCAGCAGAAACATACTGATGATAACATGGTTTCATCCTTTGACCAAAATCCACTTTGTGTTTGAGCTCCAAACATCATCACTGTAAACAGAGAGTCTGCCTCCTGATGACCGGCGCTCTGCCGGAGAGGAACCCGGTCCGCCCATCGAGGATCTGGTATGACGATGGAGCAGGTCTCTGTAAAGATGTGGGCACAACGGTCTCTGATTTCCTGTTGTTCAGCCAGCCTGATGGGATTTCATTTGGACCAGACTTTATCCAGGAGCAGCCTTCAGTCCAAGCTGGGCCAGCATGGTTCCTATCTGGGTCTCTTCCTCTCCTCTTGGGCCTGATCTGTGGAGCGTCTCAAAGTCCAGACCTCTTTAATTGGAACTGAAGGAGCTAGCCCACAGATCACATCTGTTGTCATAGTCAAAATCGGACCAGGACTCTGACCCTGGGGGATGAAGACCCGGCGGGTTCAGGCAGCGACAGGAGAGGTAGAGGAGGAAGAGGAGCCAGTTGGTAGCCAGTTAATTAGTCAGTAACCATTAACGTTATCCATCATCCATCGTATCGATCAGCCAGGATTAGTTTAAATGAATTTGGAAGTTATTCATTCTGTGACAGGGTTCCCGCTGTTGTTAAGAAATCATTATCCAGGATTTGTTTGTGGCACGTTTGGTTGTTCTCACCACAAACTATTATTTTCATTCAGAGCTGCAGGTTCCAGCAGATTGACTAAAGATTTACTTTAAACATGAATTCATCTAGAGCCCATAAATAACAAATCAAGTAGAATTTATTTTATTTTACAGAAAACAATCTTCTCACCTATCAGCCATTAAAAGATGTCGATGTTTATAGATGTGACCATCTACAGGGTTTCCAAAACAGACTTTATGCTAGAAGTTCTGTAAGAGGATTGAACAGCTCTAATAGATGTGTGCGTCTGATAAACCTGAGTAAGTGTGACAGTGTGCAGTTCAGTTTCACACTAAATACACACATAATCTAACCTGTGTGAAGTTTCCAGGACAACACACATTATTTATAGGACATTTGGTCATTTTAATCAATTTCCAGGTGTTTCCATGACTGGAAAACTAGTTTCTAAATTTCCAGATTTTCCAAGGCGCCTGGGAACGCTGCGTGTGTTACCAGACTGTGTGATGTTACACTGTGTTGGAATAAATGAACTAAATGTTCTTGTTGGTTGTTCTGACACATCCACAATCATTACAGTGATATCAGAAACAGATATACAGATTAGAATCAATACAGTGATATCAGAAGTGTGCGCGAGCAGTCGTCAGTGAAGATGTTTCGGGGACAGCCCTCCTGTCTGAGTGTAACCCCGAGAGCAGCAGGCACTATGAATTGTGGTAGGTGGAGTTCTCTGACAGTTTCTCACCATCTGGACGAGTGTTTGTGTTTAATCTGGAACAAACACAGTTTCTCTGCACTGTGAGCGAGATGTCTGCTGCTTCCAGTGTTAATAACAGACAATCTGCTGACACACAGACAGAAGACCAAGGATTTAATGAACTTAACTGACCACTGAAAACATTTCACACTGAGATTGTGCAGCGACTGGCCGCAGAGATGCTGTTTATTTATTAGTTATGAATCTAAATATGTTTGTAGCTCAGATATTTATTCAGCTTCTGAATCAACGACTGAGAAATGTTAAGCTCAGACAAATCATTAAGATCAACAGAGATACTTTCTTTATTGTGTGATAAATATACATAGAGCTGCTTTCATTCTGTAGTTTGTGGTTGTTTCCCTCTAAAAGCAGAGCTCCATCTTCTGCTTTTTATTTTACAATTAAATAAGAAAACATTTTTGTATTGAACAGAATTGAATTCAATTTCAATACTTGTTATTATGGTTTATTGAAACTCTAAGGGTCCTTTAGAGCCAGTGGGAATCAAACCGACAACCTTCCTGTGAGTGGAGTGGCTTTAATAACCTGTAATTACCTGATATTCCCTCAATAAAGAGCAGCAGCAGCTGTCATATGAGCCAGCTGGAGTGAGAGAGAGAGAGAGAGAGAGAGAGAGAGAGGGGGGGAGAGAGAGAGAGAGAGAGAGAGAGAGAGAGCACTCTGGGAGAGGCCTCCCCCACTTTTCTAATATTTCCCAGAAGTCCCGGCTGTGGCGGGGAGATAATCCCTGAGAGATGAGGAGAGGGAGCGAGGGATCGGTGAGCGGCGGGGGGGAGGAGAGGAATCCTCCAGCGTGGAGTGTTCTCTCTCTTCTTCTTCTCCTCTGAGGATTACGACGGCATTTGAAACATATTTCAGCACGCCGCGGCGGCGGAGCGAGGGCGGGATTAAGGTGTTACCGTGGAGGGGTGGTGTTAACGCAGAGGGGCGGGGTGTTAAAAGATGGCGGAGCGGTGATATTGGCGGGGTTAGTGGCAGTCGGATGAAGTGATACCAGTACAGGAGTGAGTTAGTGAGGTTAATGGAGGCGGTGGCTGCGATGGAGGGGGGGTCAAGAGCGGGAAGGTGTGAGGCAGCAAGGGGGGGGCGGAGCCAAGAGACGCAAAGATTGCTTCTCAAAGTACAAAGTACCCTACCAGTACCAGTACCAACACCAGCACCAGTACCAACACCAGCACCAGTACCAACACCAGCACCAGTACCAGCAACAGTACCATCAATAGTAACAGCAGTACCAGTACCGCTTCCTCTCTACCAGTACCAGTACCCTGTCCCTCTCTACCAGTACCAGTACCGCTCCCTCTCTACCAGTACCAGTACCAGTAACAGTACCCTCTCCCTCTCTACCAGTACCAGTACCGCTCCCTCTCTACCAGCACCAGCACCAGTACCAGCAATAGTACCAGCAGCAGTACCAGTACCAGTACCGCTCCCTCTCTACCAGCACCAGTATCAGTACCAGCACCAGCAACAGTACCAGTAACAGTACCAGCAATAGTACCAGCAGCAGTACCAGTACCAGTAGTGCTCCCTCTCTACTAGTACCAGTATCACTCCCTCTCTACCAGCACCAGTACCCCTCCCTCACTACAAGTACCAGTACCACTCCCTCTCTACCAGTACCGCTCCCTCTCTACCAGCACCAGCAACAGTTCCAGTACCAGTACCGCCCCTCTCTACCAGCACCAGCACCAGTACCAGCAATAGTACCAGCAGCAGTACCAGTACCAGTACCGCTCCCTCTCACCAGCACCAGTATCAGTACCAGCACCAGCAACAGTACCAGTAACAGTACCAGCAATAGTACCAACACCAGCACCAGTACCAACACCAGCACCAGTACCAGCAACAGTACCATCAATAGTAACAGCAGTACCAGTACCGCTTCCTCTCACCAGTACCAGTACCCTGTCCCTCTCTACCAGTACCAGTACCGCTCCCTCTCTACCAGTACCAGTACCAGTAACAGTACCCTCTCCCTCTCTACCAGTACCAGTACCGCTCCCTCTCTACCAGCACCAGCACCAGTACCAGCAATAGTACCAGCAGCAGTACCAGTACCAGTACCGCTCCCCTCTACCAGCACCAGTATCAGTACCAGCACCAGCAACAGTACCAGTAACAGTACCAGCAATAGTACCAGCAGCAGTACCAGTACCAGTAGTGCTCCCTCTCTACTAGTACCAGTATCACTCCCTCTCTACCAGCACCAGTACCCCTCCCTCACTACAAGTACCAGTACCACTCCCTCTCTACCAGTACCGCTCCCTCTCTACCAGCACCAGCAACAGTTCCAGTACCAGTAGTGCTCCCTCTCTACCAGCACCAGTATCAGTACCAGTATCAGTACCAGAAACAGTACCAGCACCAGTACCAGCAACAGTACCAGTACCGCTCCCTCTCTACCAGTACCAGTAACAGTACCCTCTTCCTCTACCAGTACCGCTCCCTCTCTACCAGCAACAGTACTAGCAGCAGTACCAGTACCAGTACCAGTAGTGCTCCCTCTCTACCAGCACCAGTATCAGTACAAGCACCAGCACCAGTACCAGCAACAGTACCAGCACCAGTACCGCTCCCCTCTCTACCAGTACCAGTACCACTCCCTCTCTACCAGTACCAGTAGTGCTCCCTCTCTACCAGCACCAGTATCAGTAAAAGCACCAGCACCAGTACCAGCAACAGTACCAGAAATAGTACCAGCACCAGTACCGCTCCCCTCTCTACCAGTACCAGTACCCCTACCTCTGTACCAGCACCAGTACCAGTACCGCTTCCTCCTTATCAGTACCAGTACCCCTCCCTCTCTACCAGCACCAGTACCGCTTCCTCTCTACCAGCACCAGTACCAGTACCGCTTCCTCTCTACCAGTACCAGTACCCCTCCCTCTCTACCAGTACCAGTACCGCTCCCTCACTACAAGTACCAGTACCACTCCCTCTCTACCAGTACCACTACCGCTCCCTCTCTACCAGTACCGCTCCCTCACTACAAGTACCAGTACCACTCCCTCTCTACCAGTACCACTACCGCTCCCTCTCTACCAGTACCAGTAACAGTACCCTCTTCCTCTACCAGTACCGCTCCCTCTCTACCAGCAACAGTACTAGCAGCAGTACCAGGACCAGTAGTGCTCCCTCTCTACCAGCACCAGTATCAGTACAAGCACCAGCACCAGTACCAGCAACAGTACCAGCAATAATACCAGCACCAGTACCGCTCCCCTCTCTACCAGTACCAGTACCACTCCCTCTCTACCAGTACCAGTACCCCTACCTCTTTACCAGCACCAGTACCGCTTCCTTTCTACCAGTACCAGTAACAGTACCCTCTTCCTCTACCAGTACCAGTACCCCTCCCTCTCTACCAGTACCAGTACCGCTTCCTCTCTACCAGTACCACTCCCTCTCTACCAGTACCAGTACCCCTCCCTCTCTACCAGCACCAGTACCCCTCCCTCACTGCAAGTACCAGTACCAGTACCCCTACCTCTCTACCAGCACCAGTACCAGTACTGCTTCCTCTCTACCAGTACCAGTACCTTTCCCTCTCTACCAGCGCCAGTACCACTTCCTCTCTACCTGTACCAGTAACAGTACCCTCTTCCTCTACCAGTACCGCTTCCTCTCACCTGTACCAGTAACAGTACCCTCTTCCTCTACCAGTACCAGTACTAGTACCCTTCCCTCTCTACCAGTACCCCTCCCTCTCTACCAGTAGCCCTCCCTCCCTACAAGTACCAATACCGCTTCCTCTCTACCAATACCCTCTCCCTCTCTACCAGTACCAGCACCGCTCCCTCTCTACCAGTACCAGTAACAGTACCCTCTTCCTCTACCAGTACCAGTACCCCTCCCTCTCTATCAGTACCGCTCCCTCTCTACTAGTACCAGTCCCTCTCTACCAGTACCGCTCCCTCTCTACCAGTACCAGTGTCGCTCCCTCTCTACCAGTGCCGCTCCCTCTCTACCAGTACCAGTCCTCCCTCTCTACCAATACCAGTCCTCCCTCTCTACCAGTACCAGTCCTCCCTCTCTACCAGTACCACTGCCGCTCCCTCTCTACCAGTACCAGTACCAGTCCTCCCTCTCTACCAGTACCACTCCCTCTCTACCAGTACCAGCACCGCTTCCTCTCCTGTTCCATCCCTCCTCCACTCCCCTGACGACTGTTGCCATGGTTTCCAGTGTGCAGCAGTGCTGCTGCAGGTCGGTTACCATGGTGACAGCAGTCCGTCACAGTGAGGGAACAGATGAAAGTTTCTGATCTATCAGACACATCAGGCGGAGGCGGAGCTTCTCAGCCACCACCTGCCGCACGGCATGCTGGGAGCTCCGCCCCCTCGCCCTCTCTCATCTTGGCCCTCGATTGCCCCACTATCTCTCTCTGTGTCATCCCTCCATCAGTCAGACCTCTCATCTTTTTCATTTCTACTCGTTTTACTCTCTCAGACCATCCCTCCCCTCTCCCCCTCCCTCCCTGATCCTCCCACAGAGAGTGGTATATGAATCCAGATGAATTGTGGGTAATAAATCCAGGACTCTGCAGGTTTTGGTAATAAACTCTGTGAACTGAACTTCGATAATAATCAGCCTCCAGAGGAGTGACAGAGAGAGGAAAATCTTCCTCAAACTTTTTAATCATCCTCTGAACATCATCTTCACTTATTGATTATTGACCGACACTTTATCCTGATTCTATCCGATTAAAATCTGAAGAAAACACTTTGAAGCACACAGACCAGGTAGAATATTTCTGCTCCCATTGATAAAACTAAACAGAATATAAAGTAAAATACATCAGTGACTCAATGTATTCACATTCAATAATACGTCTTAAAGGTCAGAATTAACTTAAATCTCTCATTTTGAGCCCAAAATGGAAGAAAAGTCTTTAATAAATGTTTGGATTTATAGCAGATGATAACAATTAAAGATTCAGTGACCCCAATAATAACTCAAATGTACATTACTACATTTTAGCGTTATACAAACAAGCACCATTCGTTTGGAGCCGGAGTGCAGCCGTGATCGGGGTTGGCGCCGCCGTATCCAGGTCCCGCCCATACGTCCGTTAATAGTATCTACTAGTGCTGGTTTTAATTTGACATATACTGCCATCCATAACTGCTCTAACAGAACATCTGAGACATCTCTCTTTGAATGCTTCACCACTTTAACTACTTTATGTTGTTTTTACAGTTTACACAGTAACAGGCGCTCAGGTGATGTCATCCAGGCGAAACCTGCAGAGCATCTGTCTGATTTAAATATCTGTGTGTCCATCAGCAGCTCCTCTGTCTCCATAAGCAAATACTCAGCAGGCAGATTACATTCAAATAACACACACACACACACACACACACCCTCACACACAGGCTGTATGAGAGCGTACTGTCCTCACACACAGACACACACACACACACACACACACACCTGAGCAGACAAACAGGTGTATAAACGGCGAGTGTTCAGCAAACATCAGCTTCATGTCAGCGTCGTCAGGTCGACTCAATCTGACTGTCAATATTTGTCTCCGCACCGTTTTGTTTTCACACCGTTCAAAATATTCATGTTCGGATTCAAACCGCAAATATTTGAGGTTTGGGCTGCTGGGGCCTCCGTAACCCGGCCGACGCTCTGCGCCGCAGCAAGCGCCACACTGCAGCGCACCAACCGGGTTAAACAGACAACTTAGAGCCGGCGCTACCTGCAGTCAGACTGAACTGTGACACTAACACTCGACTGACTTCCAGAACCAGATTCCTGGTTTTATCCTCAATCCTCAGGTGGTTCCTGAGGTTTGGCTCAGTATGTGGAGGACACCTCGATGATCTTCAGCTGAAAAACACTTCTGTACATCTCTGACCTCTGACCCCAAAACCTCCGGAAACATTTAAAGTTCCAAACTGATAAAAAACTACTTTACTGAGCGGCAGCGTGGGGCAGTAATAATATTACTAGTAGTGGAACTAATTACTAATCAATGGCAGTATTAATATTACAGTCACCCCCTAACAAAAGTAACTAGTTACATTACCTTTGTCTCCTCTTACTAACTTGAACAGTCCAATCACGTGGATTCATTACGGTAATCGTGGAGGAAAGTAGTGTGAAATATTTAATTACTGGATTTTAATCATCGTCAGTCTGAATTTGGGGCAACTGTAGTTTCTCTGTTGCACTTGGAAAGGGGGGTGAAGTGAGGGAGTTGCTATCTGCATCTGACACACTGAAGCTTTTATGAGTTGGCTTTACGCTGTTTTGTCTTCCTCTCTCTTCGGCGGTGCACCGATGTAATAACTCCGACTAGGTTCTTTCTTTGTTTACTCCTGTTGAGTTTCAACTCAACAGGCTACAACACAAACTAATCATACTTAGACAGATAGACAGGTAGGTAGACTCACCTTGGCTACAGAGCTGTCTCTCTCTTCCATCACGGCCTTCATCTCCTGAGCAGTGATGTCATTCCTCCGTTGCCTTGCCAGCCGCAGATGCTGAACCAGAACTGAACCGAACTGCTCAACTTCCTGGACAGAGTCGGCGTCGCAAACACGGCGAAGGAGCTCGTCGGAATCCTAACAGATCAATAATGAGTTCAGACCTCTGAAATTACTAACAACAACACTGCTGCGATATTGACACTATGTGAAGGGTTTTACCAGGTCGGAGTCCTCAGGCTCAATATCCTCCATCCTGAAGAGGAAGAAAATTTCAGTTAGTTTCAGTTTCCTTCATCAGATTAAGGGTTTGTTTGTAAATCTGTTTTACATCAGCACATCTAATAAACAAACCGAAACAACACAGAAATAAGATGACGACCCCAACTGATAACCACCTACGGCCTGACTGATAACCACCTACGGCCCCGACTCAAAACCACCTACGGCCCCGACTCAATACCCTCTACGGCCCCGACTCAAAACCACCTATGGCCCCGACTGATAACCACCTACAGCCCCGACTGATAACCACCTACGGCCCCGACTGATAACCACCTAAGGCCCCGACTGATAACCACCTACGGCCCCGACTGATAACCACCTACGGCCCCGACTCAAAACCACCTACGGCCCGACTGATAACCACCTACGGCCCCGACTGATAACCACCTAAGGCCCCGACTGATAACCACCTAAGGCCCCGACTGATAACCACCTACGGCCCCGACTGATAACCACCTAAGGCCCCGACTGATAACCACCTACGGCCCCGACTGATAACCACCTACGGCCCGACTCAAAACCACCTACGGCCCCGACTGATAACCACCTACGGCCCCGACTCAAAACCACCTACGGTCCCAACTGATAACCACCTACGGCCCCGACTCAAAACCACGTACGGCCCCGACTAATAACCATCTACGGCCCGACTGATAAACACCTACGGCCCGACTGATAAACACCTACGGCCCCTACTCAAAACCAATTACGGCCCCTACTCAAAACCAATTACGGCCCCAACTCAAAACCACCTACGGCCCGACTGATAACCACCTACGGCCCCAACTCAAAACCACCTACGGCCCCGACTGATAACAACCTACGGCCCGACTCAAAACCACCTACGGCCCGACTGATAACCACCTAAGGCCCCGACTGATAACCACCTAAGGCCCCGACTGATAACCACCTACGGCCCCGACTCAAAACCAACTACGGCCCAACTGATAACCACCTACGGCCCCGACTCAAAACCACCTACGGCCCCGACTGATAACCACCTACGGCCCCGACTGATAACTCTTTACGGTCCAGTCTTTTAGACTACGGGTTCATCTCTCACTTGCTCTGCAGTTTAAAATGTATAAAGACTTCTTCCTGCTTTTTCACAAACAACAAGCTTTAGAATTCAGCTTTTAATTGTTTATTTGATATTATGTTTATTATTATGGTTCATATTCTTAAATAAATTTGAATTTATAATCAGGCAACATGGAGTGATTGGGTTCTCTGGGGCCCCCTGGAAGTTTAATCTGCCCCCATCCCCTCCCCCAGTGTTGCTGCCGCTGACCAAATTAAAGCTGGACCTCTGCAGCAGCCTGTTAGATGACCTGAGCGCCGCGGCTGCAGCAGCTGTGCAGTAATTTTGTCCTGCGCTCCCTGAAGTCCACCTGAAACTCTCCATCATTTTAAAATCACTGTAAAGCTGCGAGGGCGTCGGCCGAGTGGACTCCTCTGCTGTTCAGGAGTTTATTTCTCCTTCTGACAGCAGCCATGATGGTGGACGTGGAGCTGGTAACTAGCTGATCTCCTGCCTCTCCTCCTGGGAAGCTCTTTTCATTTAGCCTGCCGCTGTTTTTCTGTAATAAACTGTAATAAGGTGGCCGAGGCAGCTCCGCTCTGCAGGGAACAGCAGGTAATGAAAGACCAGCCGCCTCCAATAAAGCTCCTCTAACACCCTGCTTACAGCCCATCCAGCCCGGCTCAGCTCGGCTCGGCTCGGCTCGCTCCACAGCCGTCATTAACGCTCCCACACACACCTCCACTCAACAGAAACACTGAGACAGCAGCCATCAATGGGATCAAATGATCCCAGTGAATAAAATCTTCATTCATCAGTTTGGAAAAGTTTCACGTCAGACTGAATATTTCAGATCTGCAGTGAAGTCCCGCTGCCAAACTTTGGTCTTCATGATGAAAATACACTGAATATACACTGAAAATACACTGAATATACACTGAATATACTCTGAATATACACTGAATATACACTGAATATACTCTGAATATAATGTTGAGTATTTATAAAGATAAGAATAATCAGGAGCAGATGAGGAAATAAAATAAAGCTGTGTTTTCGATTCTGACCAATTCAGTTTTCTACAGGATCATTAGGGCTGGGTATCGGTACTGAAACAACCCGGTACCAAGTAGTATTGAAACTGCGCCTGTCAAACGATACCTGCAATGGGTTCTTTTTGTACCCACTACCCAGATCAAGAAAAAAATGACTGTTTCCATGGTTTTGCTTTGTATGGCGGTAAGCGTGCGCACTTAGTCTATGGCAGAGTTGGCTGGTCAGCATTCCGAGATGCCGGCAGCAAAACGTTCAAAAGTATGGTTGTACAACACGCCTGTGGCGCCGGGTACAAATAGATGCATCAAATGCGGCAAGATTATTTAGGGGAAAACGGGGAATACTAGCAACATGATGAAGCACCTCATCACGCACGGAAAAAACTGCACTGTTTTTAAGAAGCCGGCGTCTACACACCAGCGCCGTCGTCGTTATCTCAACAGGACACGGAGTAGGGTGGCCATTCGTCCGGCTTTAGGCTGGACAGTCCGGCTTTTAAATGCTCTGCCCGGCTGCAGGCGCAGCCTCAAGCCGGACACTCATTTGTCCTCCTTTTGATAAAAATAAGAAAAAAGGTCCGCCTTTTGACACATTACCTCGTTAGTTTAATACTTATTGGCTAAAAATGTGTGTCAGAATAAGTAATTTCATTGGTAAAATTTTCCTGTCGTGACCTATCAACACATGACTAATGTTAATATTCAAATGAGCCATGTGTTGATTGGCCACAACAGGGCTCACTGCAGTTGCTACCACCAGGCTGTCAATCAAACTCTCAGCGACAGAGAATGTAACGTGAGCTAACGTCGGTTGTTGGAGTGAAATTCTGAAAATGCTCATACTCATATGTAGATAGGTAAAGTCTATACATCTGAAACAGAAGGTGCTGCATTTGTTTTACCCTTTATCTATCCAGATAAAAACATTAAGAACAGTTTCTGTATGATATTTATTAGACCTATGTCATCTGAATTGGAAGGGCACGTTGTCATGAGCTGTATCTTGTATATTTATTATTAGCTATGTGGTATGTGTATGCACCTTTATGTAATCTGGTGGAAAAACATTCAAATTTAAAACCGGATCATACCAAACAAATATCTGCTTGCGTGTCCCCGTGTATGCAAAGTGTCCTCCTTTTTGATGTGGAAATGGTCACCCTACCACGGAGTAACTGTTGATAACTTAAGGTAATATATATAATTATATATATATATATATTATAATTCTTCGTTGTACATGTTTGTACAGTTACTAAATAAATATTTTAGCACTTTCAAAATGTATTCGTGTAAAAATCTTTTGAATGGGGAGGAGTGGTGACATTTAAGCAACCGATTGCTTTTTTTTTTTTTAAGTTGAAAAAAAGTACCGAATGAAGTACTCAATTGGTATCGGTATCGTGTTAAGGGTACCGGTATTGGTACTGGTATTGAAAAATTTTAAACGATACCCAGCCCTAAGGATCATATTTTTACACATACAAACAGTAAAACGTAGAGCTGAATCAAACACATTTTGACAATCAGTTTCTCATTTAAACTGTGGTTGTATCCTGTAACGTGCAAGGATTTCCCGTTTTCAGCGTCACAAAGATGGCTGCCTCTTAAACAACTCCTCGCAAATAAAGAATCAGGCTGTGGCTGTTTGATGAATGCAAATGTTTCCTGTTTGAATAAAAAGTACATAAAGAGAGAAAAACAAACAGCAGCTTCACATTATTCAAACACACACTCTGGAGCCTGAAATACACTCAAACACACACGTTTACAGAGGTGTTACAGGCTGCCTCTTTCCATTAGGAAAACACACACACACACACACACACACACACACTCAGTCCTGACAGATGGAACATGCTCCTCCATATTCGGTCCCTCATAAAAAGGATTGTGGCCTCCAATATCAATTACCCTCTCATCCTGGGGGGGTAGCAGGGCGGGGTGATGGAGGACAGGGGGGAGGTAGAGGGAGGAGGGTATTATCTGTAATTAGATTTTCTGGTCTATTTGGAGGCTCGAGAGCTCGTTTCACAGCTCTTAACGAGACTGAGGAGGAGAATAATGGAGAGGAAGAGGAGGAGGATAAGAGGAGGAGGAGAGGGGATCAGGACTTTAATGTCTGTGTCTGTTTTTAGTGTCTGATCCAGATCCAACGCTGTGTTCACACTCGGCATGTTCCTGGAGACTAATTTCACCATCAATTAAACAAATATTTTAATTAAGACTCGTCTAAAAGTAAGAAAAATTATGAAAATTAATCCCAATCAATCACAGTGTGAACACTCTGTTAGCTACCTGCTATATCGTGTTCCACACATTAGCTGTGGGGCAGTTTATCTAATGGAAAGGTCTATAAACACGTTATAGTTAAACTTTATACAATAACTTTCTGGCGTTATTGTCTATATGTTGTGTGACCAACCTCTCTACAGTCTCCATCCACTGGTACCAACCATTGACCTCTGACCTAAAGATATCTGAATGAACCCACAAGTCTCCCCTCTGCAGACGCTTTATGCTTTGCTTTATCCTAGTGCAGTGGTTCCCAACCCTGTTCTATCACTGAGACTGTGTGACATATTTTATCAATAACAGCAGAGAACAGCTGATCAACTGATCAGTGAACCAAACAGTGAACTCAATAAGTGCAGTTTGATTATTTCCTGTGAATATAGTTTTCCTGATATATTGATCCATTCTCTGTCTGTATTTGTACCATTGTAACAATCAGATTTAATATTCTTCTCTCTGACAGATTCACTGATTATTCTCATTAACTCTTCATTCTCTATTCGCTCGAGGACTTCAAAGTTCAGCAGTGTTTCCTCTAGGATTTTTTTTAGCAGTGGGGGCAGGCCTGTCCGAACAACCCCCCAATCCCCGTCCAGGTCCCGCCCCGTCAGCAAACGTTTTACGTATGAAACAGAAATAACACTTCGCTGCAACACAAACAAATATATTTACCGTTTTAATGTTTCCAGATGTTTGATATCAGGATGTTGAGCTGAGCACTGACAAGTTGAACGTTGTCCAATTAAAACGGACCCACCGCGGTGACGTTTTTGGTGGAGCTGTTAGTTTAATAGTCGACTTGGAAGAAAGCGAACGTTTTGACAATAAGCTACATCAACACAACAGTATGTGGAGTTAAAGTGGACAGCCCCAATAACCTCTGAATAGTTCTACTTGTTGTTAAATTGCAATGTGAGCGGCAGCCAACGGGGGTGCATTATCATCAGCAGGATCATTTAAAAGGCAACCGTGACTACATTGTGCGTCTGCCCCATTTCTGATACCGTGGCGGCAGAAACTTAACAGCGGTGGGCCACCGCTCCAAAATCAGCATAGAGGAAACACTGTTCAGATGTTGAATAATAATCTTAACTTTAAAAATAACATAAAATCAAGAATGCCTGGTGACCCCGTGTGAAGCTTTGGTGACGCTTAGTGGAGTCCACACACCTGCACAGGTAAACTAAAACATGTGCTGCATGTATAAGGAGTTCGGTCTAGACCTGCTCTATTTGAAAAGTGTCCTGAGATAACTTCTGTTAGGAATTGGCGCTATACAAATAAAATTTAATCTAATTGAATTAGGGGCCGTTCAGATGTAGCCCGCCGCTTTCATCCTTTTATATACTAGGCAACCAAAACCTGTGGCATGACGATGATGACGATGGTGACATTAATGTCGATGGTGGCGTTGATGACGATGGTGGCGTTGATGACGTTGGTGACGATGGTGACGTTAATGTCGATGGTGGCGTTGATGACGTTGGTGACGATGGTGACGTTGATGACCATGGTGACGTTGATGACGATGGTCACGTTAATGTCGATGGTGACGTTGATGATGATGGTGACGTTGATGACCATGGTGACCATGGTGGCGTTGATGACGATGGTGACGTTGATGACGATGGTGGCGTTGATGACGATGGTGACGATGGTGGCGTTGATGACGAAGGTGGCGATGGTGGCGTTGATGACGATGGTGACGATGGTGGCGTTGATGACGATGGTGGCGTTGATGACGTTGGTGGCGTTGATGACCATGGTGGCGTTGATGACGATGGTGACGTTGATGACGATGGTGGCGTTGATGACAATGGTGGCGTTGATGACGTTGGTGACGATGGTGGCGATGGTGACGTTGATGACGAAGGTGGCGTTGATGACAATGGTGGCGTTGATGACGTTGGTGACGATGGTGGCGATGATGACGATGGTGGCGTTGATGACAATGGTGGCGTTGATGACGTTGGTGACGATGGTGGCGATGGTGACGTTGATGACGAAGGTGGTGATGGTGACGATGACAATGGTGACATTGATGACGACGGTGACGATGGTGACGTTGATGACGACGGTGACGAAGGTGGCGTTGATGACGATGATGACGTTGACGACGATGATGACGTTGATGACGTTGGTGACGTTGATGACGATGACGTAGATGGCGTTGATGACGATGATGGCGTTGATGACGATGGCGACGTTGATGACGTTGGTGACCATGGCGACGTTGATGACGTTGGTGACCATGGTGAAGTTGTGGTCATTTAGCAGGAAACCTCACTGACTGACTGACTGAGTCCAAACAAAAAGACGTGGATCAGCAGCTCCATAAATCCCTCGCTGCATTAGTGTGGAGGCAACCTGATGTGGTTACGTCCTCGTGCAGCGAGTCCTGTGGAGGCCATTGGTTCATTCTTGTCACATGACCTGGGGTGCGTTTGCTGTGTTCTAAAAAGTTGGGATTTTTCCATCTGGTTACGCCATTGAAGCGCCCGACTTACAGGCGCCATGAATGCTCCATTCAACGTAAAGACAGAAGATCTGAACAACCCCTCCAGGTTTAACTTACTCTGAGGGTCAAAGGTCAAAAACAGAGACTAGTACAGTCACTGACTGTGTCTGTGTGTGTGTGTGTGTGTGTGTGTACCTGGAGGCCTGCTGCAGTTGGCGAGCACGAAGCAGAGCCTCGTCTCTCTCCTCATTGGCCAGCAGGAGCCGTGACATCAGAGCCTGATCTCGATCCTTCTGAGCAGCTAACACCTCCTCCAACACCGCTGAGGAGAGGAGAGGAGGAGGAGAGGACAGAGGAGGAGAGGACAGAGGAGGAGAGGAGGAGGAGGAGAGGACAGAGGAGGAGAGGAGGAGGAGAGGACAGAGGAGGAGAGGAGGAGGAGAGGGCAGAGGAGGAGGAGAGGAGGAGGAGGAGAGGACAGAGGAGGAGAGGGACAGAGGAGGAGAGGAGGAGGAGAGGACAGAGGAGGAGAGGGAGGAGGAGGGAAGAGGAGGAGGAGGAGGAGGAGAGGACAGAGGAGGAGAGGAGGAGGAAGAGATTCAGGGTGAATTCAGTAGAAACACTGATCTGTTTCAGTCTCTTCAGACTGATCATCCAATCAGTGCTGAGATCTCCTTATTACACTGATTGTGTGTGTGTGTTACTGTGTGTGTGTGTGTGTTCCAGGTGTAATAATATGAGGATCTATTGACACATGGAGCAGTTTGCGCTGATTCTCAGTAACAATAACGTAACATTGGTTCAATTCAACATTAACTTCACTGTATCTATATTTATTAACCACAGCAACAAATCCACTGTATGACAAACAGAGCTGACAGAGCTGTCTGTAAGGTAACACTAGTTATAATATTACTATAATTATATTACTGTAATAATTATAGTAATAACATTACTCTCATTATTACAGTAATATTACTATAATAATACAACAGTAATAATTATTACAGTAATAGTATTACTGACAAATAACTTTCATCCCGCCGATCATTTGTGCTCAGTTTGTGTAGATTATTAACAATGAAAACATGTTTCTGCTTTCTTTCTTCAGGTTTCACTAGTTTTCTTTTACAGACACAGATTGGAGGAGAAACACAATCTGATGGAGACTTTCTGTTTCTGTGATAATCCTGCTGGATTACAGTGACACACACACACAGCTCAGTTAAATCAATATTACATCTGATCACTGCTTACACACACACACACACACACACACACACACACACACACACACACACACACACACAGTGTTCTGTTAAACTAACAGCTGCTCGTTAACTGTCACCTCGTTACCACTGCTGTTGTTTTAATTACTGTCTGTGTGTGTGTGTGTGTGTGTGTGTGTGTGTGTGTGTGTGTGTGTGTGTGTTTGGTATTAAACAGTGTGCATGAAAAATATTCAAATATTTAAGAAGTCGAGGTTGGATCAGATCTGATTAAGAGGAGAGTAAACTCTAACATCCTCCTCCTCCTCCTTCTCCTCCTCACCTGCAGGTCTCTCCCAGACTCGGGCCTCACTCTGCTCCTCCACCAGCGCCTCCTCCACCTCCCTCCTCTGCAGCTCCTTCTCCTTCTGGACCAGCTGATCCCGCAGCTGAAGCACAGTCAGGTGTAATTATACCTGTTTATAGTATATGAATCTGTGTGTGTGTGTATAAAGTATATATATGTAGTGTGTGTGTGTGTGTGTGTGTGTGTGTGTGTGTATAAAGTATATATGTGTAGTGTGTGTGTGTGTGTGTGTGTGTGTGTGTGTGTGTGTGTGTGTGTGTGTGTATAAAGTATATATATGTAGTGTGTGTGTGGGGATAAAGTATATATGTGTAGTGTGTGTGTGTGTGTGTATAAAGTATATAAAGTATATATGTGTAGTGTGTGTGTGTGTGTGTATAAAGTATATATGTGTAGTGTGTGTGTGTGTGTGTGTGTATAAAGTATATATGTGTAGTGTGTGTGTGTATAAAGTATATATATGTAGTGTGTGTGTGTGTGTGTGTGTGTGTGTGTGTGTATAAAGTATATATGTGTAGTGTGTGTGTGTATAAAGTATATATATGTAGTGTGTGTGTGTATAAAGTATATATATGTAGTGTGTGTGTATAAAGTATATATGTAGTGTGTGTGTATAACGTATATATGTGTGTGTGTGTGTGTATAAAGTATATATGTGTAGTGTGTGTGTGTATAAAGTATATATATGTAGTGTGTGTGTATAAAGTATATATGTAGTGTGCGTGTATAACGTGTATAACGTATATATGTGTAGTGTGTGTGTGTGTGTGTGTGTGTGTGTGTATAAAGTATATATGTAGTGTGTGTGTATAAATTATGTGTAGTGTGTGTGTGTATAAAGTATATATGTGTAGTGTGTGTGTGTGTAATGTGTGTGTGTGTATAAAGTATATATATGTAGTGTGTGTGTATAAATTATATATGTGTAGTGTGTGTGTGTGTAATGTGTGTGTGTGTATAAAGTATATATATATGTAGTGTGTGTGTGTGTGTGTGTGTGTGTGTGTGTGTGTGTGTGTGTGTGTAAAGTATATATATGTAGTGTGTTTGTGTAAAGTATATATATGTAGTGTGTTTGTGTAAAGTATATATATGTAGTGTGTGTGTGTGTATATAAAGTATATATGTGTATGTGTGTATGTGTGTGAGTGTATATAAAGTATATATGTGTAGTGTGTGTGTGTGTGTGTGTGTGTGTGTGTGTATATAAAGTATATATGTGTGTGTGTGTGTGTGTGTATATATAAAGTATATATGTGTAGTGTGTGTGTGTATGTATATAAAGTATATATGTGTAGTGTGTGTGTGTATGTATATAAAGTATATATATATGTAGTGTGTGTGTGTGTGTATATAAAGTATATATATGTGTAGTGTGTGTGTGTGTGTGTATATAAAGTATATATATATATGCAGTGTAGTGTGTGTGTGTGTGTGTATATATAAAGTATATATATATGTGTGTGTGTGTGTGTGTATATAAAGTATATATATGCAGTGTGTGTGTGTGTGTGTGTGTGTTGTGTGTGTGTGTATATAAAGTATATATATATATGCAGAGTGTGTGTGTGTGTGTGTGTGTATAAAGTATATATATATATGCAGTGTGTGTGTGTGTGTGTGTGTTATATAAAGTATATATATATATGCAGTGTGTGTGTGTGTGTGTGTGTAAAAGTATATTATAGCAGATTGTGTGTGTGTGTGTGTGTGTGTGTGTGTGTGTGTATTTACCTTCTTGTTGATGTCTCTCAGAGCATCGAGCTCTTTCAGTAAAAACGAGATATTTTTATCTCGATCAAAACTCTGACCTCGACCGGACGCTGTGATTGGACCGAACGTGACCTCCTGATGAGAGCTGAAGGAAACAAGCGTCAGTGTGGGAGGTTGATATTAAACACGCCCACAACACTGACAGGAAGTCCTGTTTCAGGTATTTTACAGTTTCCTGATAATCAATAAAAGTATTTGATGACTCATAATGCTGCGTCCAATCAAACGCTTTCTCTCTTCTGACGCCGTCGGGTGTTTCTGAGGTTACAGACAATATATCACCTAGCTCGTTAGCATTACTGTAGAGCTACATTAGCTCGTTAGCATTACTGTAGAGCTACATTAGCTAGTTAGCATTACTGTAGAGCTACATTAGCTAGTTAGCACTACTGTAGAGCTACATTAGCTCATTAGCATTAACTGTAGAGCTACATTAGCTCCTGGTGCTGAATCACTGTATGAATGTGTGTGAATGAGTGAATGTGACGTAGTGAAACCGCTCCGTCCTTCGGGATCACACATTGTTACACGACGGTGTAATGAGTGAGCAAACACACAGGAAGTCAGTGCAGGACAGGAGGAGAGCTGCAGAACGGGTCAGCTGCTGGTCAGTGAGGGCTGTGATTGGTCAGGACTCAGCTGAATGTTTCATTAGAGTCTCACCTGTGTGTAGTCAGGTCAGGTGTTTTAACCTCACATTATCAGATGTGAGGTGGAGAGATGAAGGCAGCAGGTTATGAGGCGTTGCTTTAATAAGCAGCGACTGATGTTCGCCTGTAATTCTCTCATATTACCTTAAAGGTCAGACTGCTTCTTAGCGTAATAAAGCGGGTAAATAAGACACTGAAATATGGCTGACACTGTCTTCTGTAATTGACTGTTTCTGACTTTATAATATCAGCTGCTTCTAATCAACTTTCCTCTCCTCCCGCCTCGACTGCTTTTACTATCTTTCTATTTCTGTCTGCCTCTCTCCAACGCTTCCACTAATCAAATCAAATCTAAATTTAATAGGTCACATTTCACACAGTGATGCAACTCCACAAATTTCATTTGAAAATGCATCAAAAAGACACAAAAGACGCAAAAAACCCCCACATGAATTAAAGAATCTAAAGAAGGTTGAAGTTTAATGAAAAGCAATAAACTTTTTAATAAATGTGCTCACTGTGGAGCGGCTCTAAACACATTAACAGTCAGAAGAGTTTCCAATACCGATAATGAGGTTATTATTAAAAGTTGTAATAATCTATAGATCTCATACAGCATGTCTTCTGACTTTTATTTTGGAAGCACTTACATCAGTAAAACAGGAAGTTGTTTACTGCAGAGTGTCAGAGAGTGACAGACTGTAGGAGTGTAGACAATCTCACCTGTCGTCAGTGCTGACCAGCTGTCTCCTGATTCCAGGACTACCAGGACCTCTGGATGCTCGTCCTCCATCGGGGACGTCTCCACAGCTCTCTGCCCGAGGAGAAGGGCCTCGGCTGGGGGAAAGGTCCGTCTCCATCTCCCCTGCACCTCCTGGAGGCCACAAGGACAACTGAGAGACAGGAGAGACGGACCTCCTGTGGAGGGGAGGTGAGACAGGAGAGACGGACCTCCTGTGGAGGGGAGGTGAGACAGGGGAGACGGACCTCCTGTGGAAGGGAGGTGAGACAGGAGAGACGGACCTCCTGTGGAAGGGGTGGCAGGAGACGGACCTCCTGTGGAGGGGAGGTGAGACAGGAGAGACGGACCTCCTGTGGAAGGGAGGTGAGACAGGAGAGACGGACCTCCTGTGGGTCAACGGGGAGGGTGAGCAGGAGGTTGGAGGCTCTTCAAGGTGTTGAGGGGCTGAAGGGAGACAGACAGACAGACAGACAGACAGACAGACAGACAGACAGATTAAGAGATCTCTTTTCCAGGTGAGCTCTGGTCAAGATGCTACATGCTAAGCTAATATATGCTAAGCTAATCTATGTTGGAAAGACAACCACACGTTAACCAATGTTAGCTAAACGGTAGCTAACTAACTTACAGTCATTAGTTACTAACAGACAGGTTAATGAATGAATGAATCGATGAATGGATGAATGAATGAATGAATGAATGAATGAATGGATGAATGAATGAATTGATGAATGAATGGATGAATGAATGAATGAATGAATGGATGAATGAATGATGATCGTACCCTGAGGCCAGTCAGTGTGGTCCAGACTCAGACTGATCCCAGATCTGTAAACAGATCAATGATCACAATGTGTCATTAAACAGAGTGACAGTCTATAATCAGTGTCTAACAGCCAGCAGGGGGCGCTAACACTGATCCCATTCACTCTAATGGAGATCAATGAGCTCAGTAAACAGTTTCCTGATGAGTTTCTGGTCTCAGTCTCTAGTTTCAGTCTTCTTCCATACAGCATGATGTTCATTTAGTAACTGATGGTCCCATTTAGAGTAAAACAGACCATAAAGCAGGGTATGCTTTAGGGCGGGGCTACCTTGTGATTGACAGCTCATTCTCAGTGAGTCCGTCCAGCTCAACCAAACTCAGATCAAACTGTCAAACAGTGCTGATCAGATATGGATCCAGATTCTGTCGTCACCGCTGCAGAAAACCAACATGGAGACGACCATAAGGGCCAACTGGGGGCTTCAGAACGAGACTCCACAGGCCGACACTGTCTCACTGATACACTGTCTCACTGATACACTGTCTCACTGATACACTGTCTCACTGCTGTATTTACCTGGCAGGGCTGCTGAGTGGCTGCGGTGCAGGCAGACGCTGTCGCAGCTCCACATTCACTCTGGGATTAGCTGAAAAGATAAAAAGTGTTACCTGGAGGTCCAACAGGAAGTGTTTACATCACACCACCTGTCTGTCTGTCTGTCTGTCTGTCTGTGTGTCTGTCTGTCTGTCTGCGTGTCTGTCTGTCTATCTATCTGTGTCTGTCTGTCTATCTGTGTCTGTCTGTTGGCCTGTCTGTCTGTCTGTCTGTGTGTCTGTCTGTCTGTCTATCTGTGTGTCTGTCTGCGTGTCTGTCTGTCTATCTGTGTCTGTCTGTCGGCCTGTCTGTCTGTCTATCCGTCTGTGTGTCTATCTGTCTGTCGGTCTGTCGGCCTGTCTGTCTGTCTGTCTGTCTGTGTGTCTGTCTGTCTGTCTGCGTGTCTGTCTGTCTATCTATCTGTGTCTGTCTGTCTATCTGTGTCTGTCTGTTGGCCTGTCTGTCTGTCTGTCTGTCTGTCTGTGTGTCTGTCTGTCTGTCTATCTGTGTGTCTGTCTGCGTGTCTGTCTGTCTATCTGTGTCTGTCTGTCGGCCTGTCTGTCTGTCTATCTGTCTGTGTGTCTATCTGTCTGTCGGTCTGTCGGCCTGTCTGTCTGTCTGTGTGTCTGTCTGTGTGTCTGCAGTGTCAGTTTACCTGTCTCTCTCTCTGACTGTCTGTCTTTATTAATCATTAGCGAGCAGTAATCCTGTCGTCATGTCGAGCTTTCTGAATACTTGCAGCTCATCAGCAGAACAAACACAGCTTTAATATCTCGTTAAGGCCTCGTTAAGGACGGTTAACCACTCTTGTTTAAGAAAGCACCAATCAGAGCGCAGCTCCTCAGGTGTAATTAAAACAGAGGCAGAAATCACGCTAAACGCTCGTTAAGTCAAAAGTAAGCAGCCAAACACACACAGAGACCGTTAACACACAGCGAGCAATTAACACACTGACACTGTGTGAGAGAGAGACAGGTGTGTGTGCAGCAGTCTACCCTCTGAAAGAGAGACAGACAGGTGGACACAGTGACAACCAATCTGATGAGCTCTGACTTAACGAGCCGACGACCTTTGACCCCTGTAGTCTGTCGGTGTGAGAGCGAGAGATCTGCTTGTACGAGGTCGATGTCGCAGGAGATTTCACAATAAAAGGCACAATATAAAAGATATTTCACAATAAAAGACAATCAAATCGATCCCTCCAGGAGCCTAAAATTCAAGATTCCCTGCATGGTGAGATGGTTTAGGCATTCACTTCATTTTCATTTAAAGTGAAGAAAGAGGTGCAGATGAGTTTGTGTCAGTCATTAGAAATGGAAGGCAACTTGTTCCAGAGAGAATCACATTGTTGGAGGTTTGGTGACGTACGCTGTGTGTTCAGTGATTGTGAGGCAGAATTCACAGGGATTGGTTGAATATCTGTTGTTTCCATAAACACACATTTACACTTTGTGTCTAATTTCTGTTTTTTTGTTTTTATAAAAAGAGGGACTGCTGAATATGCTAACTGTACTAGCTGCTATTAGCTAGTTAGCGACGCTATTAGCTGTCTGCACCCCGACTGGGAGCTGGAAGGACGGGGGGAGTTTAAGAGTGATATGATGTAAGGCATTCAGTCCCAGAGACATTTCTTCCTCCTTTAAATGCACCCAAGTTGTCTCGTTTTATAAAGCCAGCTACATTCAGCAAGAAGACAACGGCTAACCTCAGTCTCATTCAGGAAGAATTTAAATGTGTTGATTATTTTACTGCTGATGAAGCTGTGATGTATCAAACATAAAGGAACCATTTTGCTGTTGTGACCGTGAACAGTGTGGGAGGCAGTGAGTAGTGAGTTGTCCTACAGCTGAAGCGGACACACATGAAGCTGAAGGCAACTTTATATTGAATGCTAACCAGCGTTAGCAGTATTCTTCAGGCTGC